TAATACTTAGTTTTCATATATTCTCATGTAGACAAAGTAACTGAATCCAGACTCCATGGCTGTGGTTCCTGGTGTGGTTTCCTTCCTCTGGCACCAACCATCAAACCTATTTTCACCATCCACTGTGAATGTCATGTGGGTCTGAATTACTATGTTCAGCCCTTCAAGTGAACCAATGGAACTTAGTTGAATGAAACCACAGCCTCTTGTTTCTAGAAGCTTCTAACATGAGACTAAGAAATGTGATTATGTAGCGAATGACTAGTAAAGAATTCTTAGTTTTTTTAATTGAGCTGAGGGCAAATAAAACACAAATGAGATTTTTTTTTAGTAGAACTGATGTTTGCTTTTTGGTTGAAATTTCCTAGCTCATCAAATACAACACAACCCCAATGGGAGAGATTGAGGTTGGATATATCTTCCAAAGAATGCCACTTTCTAAAAAGGATAGTGTTTCCACTGCAACAGTTTCAGTCCCCTGGATAGAATCTTCTCATATAAGGACCTTCCTTAACACAACTATAAAAATGAACAGAATATTGCTGGGCATGGTGGCATGTGCCTGTAGTCCCAGCTACTCTGGGGGCTGAGTGAGGAGGATCACTTGCACCCACAAGTGGCTATTCATGGGTGTGATTAGAACCTGAACTAGCCACCGAATAACCACGGAACTCCTGTCTCCAGCCTGGGTAACATATTGAGACCCCCATCTCTGAAAAAAAAAAAAAAAAAGAATGAAGGAAAGGAGGGAAGAAAGGAAATGAATAATATTGAACCCCATCAGAGGAATAACCTCTGCTTCTCTCATGCTTAGTGTGCTGACTTGCTTTTCTTGGTTCTCAAATGATGCAATCGGATAGAGCTGCAGCTTCCTGGTTGAGGGTTATTTTTTCATGCCTATATTTAAGATGCTTAATTTTGTGATTCATTCTTTATAATTAGATATAATGTTTAGAATATATCTATGTATATCACATTCACATTTTTCCTTTGAGGGCTATTCTTTTCCCCTCTGAGCTGATCTTAACTGCAAGCTTTTTTTTTTTTTTTTAAGACAAGGTCTCACTCTGTCACCCAGGCTGGAGTGCAGTGGCATGATCTTGGCTCACTGCAGCCTCTGCCTCCTGGGCCCAAGTGATCCTTCCACCTCAGCCTCCTGGGTAGCTGGGACCACAGGCACACACCACCACGCCCAGCTATTTGTGTGTGTGTGTGTGTGTGTGTGTGTGTGTGTGTGTGTGTGTATGTGCGTATTTTTAGTACAGACAGGGTTTCACCATGTTGCCCAGGTTGGTCTCGAACTCCTGAGCTTAAGTGATCTGCCTGCCTCAGCCTCCCAAAGTGCTGGGATTACAGGTGTGAGCCATGGTGCCTGGCCTCAACTGCAACCTTAAATCCTTAAATCTGCAATTGCCATGAGTCAAGAGAGCCCCAGCTGTGTCCATGTGGAAAACTGACATTTCCCCCAAGGCTGGGGTGTGTGTGTATGTGTGTGTGTGTGTGTATAAAAAAACATATATATATATATATATGCCCTGGACCATGTACAGTTGAAAAACATGGGTTTGAACTCCACAGGTCCTCTTACAAGCAGATTTTCTTCCATCTCTGCCACTCCTGAGATAGTAAGACCAACCCCTCCTCTTCCTCCTCAACCTACTCAGTGTGAAGATGATGAGGATGAAGGCCTTTACAACAATCCACTTCCACTTAATAAATAGTAAATATATCTTCCCTTCCTTAAGATTTGCTTAACCCTTTGTTTTCTCTAACTTACTTTATTATAAGAATACTATATGAAATACATGTGGCCGGGTGCAGTGGCTCACGCCTGTAATCCCAGCACTTTGGGAGGCTGAGGCGGGCGGATCACAAGGTCAGGAAATCGAGACCACGGTGAAACCCCGTCTCTACTAAAAATACAAAAAAAATTAGCCGGGCGCGGTGGTGGGCGCCTGTAGTCCCAGCTACTCAGGAGGCTGAGGCAGGAGAATGGCATGATCCCGGAAGGCAGAGCCTGCAGTGAGCTGAGATCGCGCCACTGCACTCCAGCCTGGGGGACAGAGCAAGACTCCGTCTCAAAAAAAAAAAAAAAAAAAGAAATACATGTAACATACAAAGCTTGTGTTAATTGACTTTATGTTACCCATAGGGCTATTAGTAGTTAAGTTTTGGGGAAGTCAAAAGTTATATGTAGATTTTGACTGCATGGGGGCCGGCGCCTCTAACCCCAGCACTGTCCGAGGGTCAACTGTGTACCTTGTTAGCTTGAACTGCAGCTCTTTTCTAGTGCACTGGCCTCACTTTTTTGGTTTCTTTGCCCCTGGGGCTCATGATTTTTAGCCTGTTTCTTTTCTCTTTTGCCCACAGATATGGTTCAATTGAATTAAGCATTCCTCAATACTAAGGCATTGGAAATAAAAACAACCTATTTCTGAGAATAAAAGAGGAGAGCTAGCATGACACCAGTGGCCCCAGCTACTCACCCTAACCCGGATTCTAGGATAGAACACTCAGGATCTGGGCACTGGACACTGATGATAAAGGATTAGATATTAATGATCAACTTGAACCAAGACATAGTCATTGCTTAACTTCAATTTTTCTTCCTTTTTTTTTTTTTTTTTAAATAGTGAAAATCAAGAGGCTGGGCCTTGAAGCATCTCAGCAAGCATGACGTCCTCTACACCATACCCTCTGGCCTGGGGTTCAGCAGTCTTCACCATTCCCATTCCATGAACCCCTCAAAATCAGGAATACAGGTAGGAATACAGGTAGCCCACACAGCAGGCAAAGGTAATGGAACTAGCCCACCAGGAAGGGGGACTGAGAGGAAAACTCTACACATTTCTGTTTTTCTATCTTCCCTTTCCACCTTTTTTTTTTTTTTTTTTTTTTTTTTTGAGACAGAGTCTTCACCCAGGCTAGAGTGCAGTGGCACAATCTTGGCTCACTGCAACCTCCACCTCCTGGGTTCAAGCGACTCTCCTGCCTCAGCCTCCCAAGTAGCTGGGATTACAGGTGCGTGCCACCATGCCCGGCTAATTTTTGTATTTTTAGTAGAAATGGGGTTTCACCATGTTGGCCAAGCTGGTCTCGAACTCCTGACCTCAGATGATCCACCCGCCTCAGCCTCCCAAAGTGCTGGGATTACAGTTGTGAGCCACTGTGCCTGGCCCCTTTCCACTATTTAATGCATGTCTGCCTCTTCAGTCCTTTCCACAATTCAGTGATTAATGATTATGTGCTCAGTACCATACTCAGCATTCTGGTCCTCTTCCTGTTTTTCAAAATGTCTCTCTTGCCCCCGCCACGCCCTTTTCTTGGCATCACCCAGTTTCCACATGTAACTTTAAGAGTCTCTCTGTGCTACATTTTCAAGGACCTGGCTCCTTTCTTCACAGTGAGTAGTAGGAGTTGGTCCTTGGGGGCTGGAGAGAGAGGGACAAGTAGCTCTGAATAGCGCCTCAGAAGCTAACATGGCAAAAGAGGAGTGTGTGGGTAGGTAACCAAGTAAAGACAACTGTAGAGTGTTTATTTCTATTCAGGATTTAAATAACACCTTTGTCATCAAAGTAGCTATGTCAGCATCAATGACCTGCTGATTATAAAATGTATCCTTGGCAGAGAGAAAGAGAATTAACCTTTAATGAATAATTGCCATCTGCCAGCACTGTGTAAGGCTAGTGATTCTCAGTATTTTAATCGTCAAGGATTCCTCTGAGATTCTTGTAGAAGCTATGAAATCTCTCCCCTAGGAAAATGCAAATGTACACAAAATTTTACATAGAATTACAGGGGCAAACCATTGTCCTGAAGCATAACCACAGACCTTAGATTAAAATCCTCCGTGTGAGATCCTTGTTATTGAGAGGGATACCATTCTCCCCACCTTACAGATGAGGGGACAGGAGATTCAGGGACATACCCAAAGTCACATACCTAATAAATTACAGCCACAGGCCGGGTACAGTGGCTCACGCCTGTAATCCCAGCACTTTGGGAGGCTGAGGCGGGCAGATCACTTGAGTCCAGGAGTTCAAGACCAGGGTGGCCAACATGGCAAAACCCCTTCTCTACAAAAAAATACAAAATTAGCTGGGTGTGGTGGCACGCATCTGTAGCCCCAGCCACTTGGGAGGCTGAGGTGGGAGGATCACCTGAGCCTCGGAGGCAGAGGCTGCAGTGAGCCAAGATCACACCACTACACTTCAGCCTGGCTGACAGAGTAAGATGCTCTCTCCAAAAAAAAACAGCAGCTGCTATAGACTGAATGTTTGTATTCCCACAAATTACTTTTGAAACCTAATCTCCAATGGGATGATATTAGGAGGTAGGGTCTTTGGGAGGAGGGGTCTTTGGGAGTGTCTTTGGCAGGGCCCTCATGAATAGGATTAGTGCTCCTCTAAAAGAAGCCCCAGAGAGATCCCTCGTCCCTTCCACCATGTGAGGTTACAGTGAAGACGGCTGTCTGTGAACCAGGGAGTGCACCCTCAGCAGACACCCAATCTGCTGGCGCCATGTTCTTGGACTCCCCAGACTGCAGAACTGTAAGACGCACATTTTTGATGTTGAGAAACCACCTAGTCTATGGTGTTCTGTTAAAGCAGCCCAAGCCCACTAAGACAGCAGCAGGAACATTTCAACCTAAGCTGTCTAAACACACCTTCCTGCCTCAAATGAAAACCTCATCTAGGTTTTCCTGTTATTGTAACCATCACTCCTTATTTTTTAAATGAAGAAATAAAAATTATGTGAGAAACTGAAACCCATGTGAAGCATTCTATACTCAGTCATGGGAAATTAGGAAGCTCAGGATCCTGGAGGCTCCAAATCATACTTCTTATCAGCCAAAAACCCCGCTCCTCCCGAACCTACCCACCCAGCTAAAAACAAGCCAAAGAGGAGCCTTTCTAGAGGCTTCACTTTCCTCAGAACAAGAGAAAAACTCTCTTCAAAATCAGCGGTCAAAATGTGAACTAATAGACCAGTCAAACCTCTGGATATGAAACAAAACAATTTTAATTTCAGAATATTACAAGAATATAAAAGAAAGACAATGCATAGGATCATTTCTTTACAATTACACACATATAGTCAAATAAGAATGAAAACTTAAAACAGTTAAGAAACCTTGTTTCTCTTGTTGAGCAAGCTCAGGGATGGGACAAAGACAACCCTTGCTCTGCAGAAAGAACCCTGGGGTGAGGGAATATTTCCCCCCACAGGTTCTATCTGTCCCCAGACATGGCGGGAGGGCTCCATGGCTCTTTAGCATAGGCTATGGCCTCACACACTCCAGTCTCCATGGTAACCCAAGCACTCAGGCTATTATGTCCCACATCTCCTCGCTGGCCGGCTTCTGTCAACTCTACGCTGGTAGATCTCAGCATTAGCTGTCTAGGGAAGCTAACTTCCTACAGTGAGTTTTAGTTGAGTTAATCACCACTGGTGTCAAAAGCCTGTGCATCTTAGGAACCCAAATCTTCCCCAAATTCTAGACAAGCCCACAAAATGCTAGTATCTAGGTTTAGATCTAGGTCCTATCTTCTGTTTGAAGGTTTCAGGGTAAAGGAGGGCAGAGATAAGGCTCTCTCCTGGGGAAAGGAGTTCTACACAAAAATGACCTCAGAATGGGGGCCATTAGCCTCAAGCATCTGTATGAGGCCTTGTAGGAAAGAAGACAGAGTCTAGAGACATCTATTCCTAAAAATCACCCGGTTGCATGGCCAGTCATGGTGGAGCACGTTCCCAATGACCACAGGTTCTCCTAGAAGGCAGTATTTTCAACTGTATGCTAACACAGGCTCCTGTGAGGGAAGCTGAACAGAAACATTCCTACTCAGGAGGAGAGAATGGCTCTGTTCTGACACTCTAGGATCGACTGTTCTGTTCTAGGTTAACAGAACAGATAGCTCTGGAGCACCCAGGTGTCACTGTAGTCAACAGCCCTCCACTAGCCCATTTCCCAAGGGTGTCTCCTTATCCTTCCTGAATGACTCTGGAAGGACATTCTGGGTAAAGAACTTTCTTTTGTGGAGGATCAACTGTAGTTTTGGTTACAATTCATTACCTGCTCCTATTTTGGCACTCAGGAAGAGTCAGTATCTCCTGATGCTCTTTCACTGCTGGCAGGGTTTTCCACACCACATTCATTGGTCCCAATGCAAAAGTTTATCATTGTAAAAGGTGATAAACTCCAACACCTATGGTTCTCACCAATTCAGTCAGTGGGGTTCACACAGTACAGTCTGGACAGGAAGGTGGCCTACAGTTTAATATGTGTATCCTGGCACAAACACAATGCCCCATATTGATACCACATCAAAGCCCATCACAGGTGACCCCAGAAAGAAATGAAGTTGTAAAAACCACAAGAAGAGGCACTTTCAAAGAGATTGTTCCAACATGAAAAACAAACACAATGAAATGGATTCAAAAAAAATCTTATAGATTAAAAAACTCTATTAAATACTGGCTCAAAAACAATACCTGCCCACCAAATCAGAAGGGAGACAGCAGCTTCTGTGGCAAATGATAAAAGGGGTTTTGTCTGTGTTTTCTGTAAGATTCCACAGGATTAGAATAGTTACATATTACAAGGTAGAAGGTTATGCTGCTTACTCCTCAAATTTGGATTCTAAGTCAATCACAGCTTCTATTAAGAAAAATGACCTATAAACCCCTAAAGCAAGGGAAAACATCCTCAATAAATAAACAAAACACACACAAACTACCCAAGGAGACCAGCTATATAAACGCATGTGCATGTGATAAATATCTCTCTCGCGACCCTCACCCCAGAACACAACCCTTGCTTTCTGATTCCATTCACCCAAAGAGCATCTACATCCGTCTCAATCTCAGCTACTTCCCTTAAATAGAACCAAAAACTAACACAATGACAAGGAGCTATCAGGTCACCACTCTGCTCCCTCTACCTGATGCCAGCCCTGTTTAACAGACCACAGCACCACTTCAGGATGAAGCACATCTAAACAAATAAAGGAAAGAAGGAAGAGTTAAGGAAGAACACCATTTCAATGTGGTGATACCAAAAGGGTTTTCTGTTTGAATTAACTGCTATCTGGTGTAAGGGATTTCATTTTCTTAATAAGAAAAAAAAGTCAAATATTTAACAGAAACCTATGCAAATGAATTTGCTAATATGTGTTTTTAAAAATGACATAAAACTACTCTAGAGAAAGGGGCTTCTAAGCAGTTTTGTTTTCCTAACCATCTATTGTTCATACTCTATTAAGCTGGAAGACCAAATTTTACATTTTTCTCCACTATTGCTGTTACAGCAGCAAAAGCAGCAGAAAGGCTGGCAGAGAGGGCTGCCAGCTGGGCACAAAGCCAAACTCTGCTCCCCCGGAGTCATCTTTCATTTCGGCAATGGTGCAGCATATTCAACAGTTTAGAAATAGGTCAGCAAACCACACTTTGTGGGGCAACTGCTTCCCCATAGTGGTCTGACTCGGCTCCAACCCCCAGGGTGAGAAGGCTTATAGAGCTCCACTGAGCCAGGCACAAACCTGAGCATTCTCCCCTGCCACGTGCTGTTCTCTGGGCAGACACCAGTTCATACTAGGTCAAAACCATGCCACTGCTCCATCCAACATATGTGAACACACCAAGTCCAAAAACCAGAAGCTCTGGCCCCATCTCCAAATTACCACCTGTGCCCCTTCTGACAAGGAGAGGGCGGCACAGTAATACTCCTTGAATATTGGTGATAAGCCACAGTTGCTTCCAAATAAGAACATTCTCTCCTTTAAATCGTGTCAACCCTGCAGAGGCTGCTGCTGGCTTCTTTTTTCAGATTCTAACTCATTCTCAGGAGACGGTCTAGCCTGCACCCTCAGAGGGTGCAATATAATCCCACCCATAAAGACTCATCCTGGGACATAAAGGCAGCCAGCCCCTCCTAGGCACACTCCAGAGCTTCTCCCACATACACATATTTTAGCAAACTTCTACTATGCTGTCAGTGACTTTTCTTGAGTCACAGTGATTTGGTTCAGAAGTATTACGTTGGCACCAGAGATGTTTTAGTCAAGAGGAAATTGAATGAAGGTAACAAGTTCAGCAAAACACAATTATTATGACATCACTGAGGAAAGGGAAAGAGAAAGAGATGGACAAGGGAGGGAGAAATGGATGGAAAGAAGGAAGGAAAAGAGTTTAATAATTAAGATTTGTTAAAATATTGTATCATTGTGAATTCTCTTTTTCAATACTGCAGGTCAAATACTCTGGTGTCAGACCCAAGAAATAATAAAAAATGTCCAGAAAAGCTATAAATTCTTTAGACGCAAATTAGGTATTGAGGAATACAGCCTCATAAGATAAAGAGTTTTCCCAACGCTCAAAGTGAAAACAAGGGAAAGGCATCTAGCTTAGAGCCCATCCAAAAACATGGCTTTTAAAACAAAGAAATAAACAAAAACAACCAAATACCCAACACTATCAAAACAGAGAAAAACCCAAAATATCCATTAAAAATAACATCAAGCCACTAGGACTGACAGTGCTTTTTCAAAAATTACTGGCAGTTGAGCACACATCTCATATTTTTTTCAAAAGTGGAATCTGCCTAAACACATTGAATGAGCACTGAAGCCCACCTTACTGTGCTATATAAGCTGGTTGGACAGTTAGTGGTTTCCCCATAATATTAAAAAAGAGAGAGAGAGCCTAAGCACTCTCTCAGAAGGCACAGCTTACAAACATCATCCAGTGAGTGGGATTAGAGGTATCAGTTGGGTCACGGTATTAATTGGCCTTGACAATTCAAAATGCAGCAAGCAAGCTGCAAGTCCAAGCTTTGCTGTGGGCAGGAGTAACACCTTGTCCACTAAAGGGAAAATTCTGCATGGACCATAGGAGACAACTCTGGATCCTTCAGAGAAATCCTAGGTTGAAGGAAAAACAAGAGCATTAGACATGTTCTTAAATATTTCTTTTTGCAAACATCCCATTTGGAAGCCACAGGGTCTACACTTAGTATCTTCTCCAAACTGAGGGCTAATGAGTTTAATTAAGAATTTGTGGCCGGGTGCGGTGGCTCAAGCCTGTAATCCCAGCACTTTGGGAGGCCGAGACGGGCGGATCACGAGGTCAGGAGATCGAGACCATCCTGGCTAACCCGGTGAAACCCCATCTCTACTAAAAAATACAAAAAATCTAGCCGGGCAAGGTGGCGGGCGCCTGTAGTCCCAGCTACTCGGGAGGCTGAGGCAGGAGAATGGCGTAAACCCAGGAGGCGGAGCTTGCAGTGAGCTGAGATCCGGCCACTGCACTCCAGCCTGGGTGACAGAGCAAGACTCCGTCTCAAAAAAAAAAAAAAAAAAAAAAAAGAATTTGTGACTCTGCCAAATAAACATCTGCCTGACATAATCTCGTTCATTAAATCATCTTACTGGCTATAACAGCTAAGAATAAGTGCATATTTTGTGCTGTTCTAAGTTATTTATGTACATCATTTATCCTCACAATAACCAGTATATGAGGTACTACTCCTACCATTTTACAGAGGAAGAATCCACAGCCCACACAGTTCACTTGCCCGAGGACTAATAGCTATTAAGCAGCAACACTGGGAATGGAACCCAAGCCCAGGTGAATGCAGAACTCATGCTCCTACCACCACTACCCCTCTCAACAGTGAATGTTTACTAAAAGTCAACTCAGCACAAGGCACTGTCATTTTTCAGAAGAGAAGAACAGGAGACAGAAGGCCTCAAATACACTAAGTCTGACGTTTGTCTTCTAGAAGAGAAACTAGTTACAGAGATAAGACAACACATGTGAAGTAAATATAGTAAATCATACCGTCAATATTTTTGTAGCATTAATAAGTTCAAAGGAAAAAATATTATATCTAGCTGCATTAGCCGGAGAAAGTTTCAAAGAGGAGGTGAAATTTAGGCTAGACTTTGAAGAATGGGTAAGATTTTGACTACTGAAACTAATGGCCATTAATAAGTAGGTGCTAAATCAGTAGTTCTCATGTGGAGGTGACTTTGCCTTCTCACCCCCATGGGACATTTGGCAATGCCTAGAAGCACTTTTACTTATCACAACCAGGGGAAGAATGCTCCCAGCATCTACAGAGTAGAGGCCAGGAAGGCTGCTCATCATACAATGCATATGGCAGCTCCCGCCACAAAGCATTATCTGAACCAACATGTCAGTAGTGCGCCAAGGTTGAGAAATCCTGTACTAAATAAAAGTCTTTTTGGATTATGTTGTTGATCATAGTAATAAAATGTCATTATCTTCTTCAAAGAATATTTTACTTTAATTATAAACATCACTATCAAAAACTCTGGGGTTGTGTATTCATTGTTGTGTAAAAGAAATAAATGGCAGGCACCTGGATCTGTGGGCTTGGAGACTGCCAACGTCTGAAGAGAATTCAGACCTGGAGTTGCCAGGCTGGAAGTAGTTATCACACGGAGAGCAGAGCTGAGCAGTGGAAGGAGACCAAGCTGCAAAGAGGCAGGAGAAGCAAGAGCAGAAAAGAGCAGAGAACTTAAGATAGAGTGTTGAAAAAAATAAAGATGTAGTGGAATAGGCAAACAACAGTAAGCCACTGCAGACAAGGAAAAGAATTAAAGAGGAAGAAGGAGAAAGAGAATAATATAGCATCATAACACCAGGAAGGCATTTCCAGAGAGAGGAAGTGACCAGGAAACAGTAAAGTGAAAGTGCCATTGCCTGATCCAATTGAGGGCCATTCGTTATCTCGACTTCTCTGAACTACTAACATTTTTGAGAATCTAATTAGAACTATATATTCTTTCCCCCAGAAAAACACACATACGTACCTACATAAAAGATTCCATCAACAATACTGAGAACTTTATTAGATCATTTAGGAAGTCCACAGATGACAAGGTCAAGAATCCCTGCTCTAAAGCTTACTGGTGAAATATTAAACTGGTTTTTAAAAAATGTCTTTCTTTATTTCCAAGGTAGAGTTGTCAATACAGAAAGATATTATTTCCAGATGTCTTTCAAAAATGAAAGCAACAAAAGGTGTAACTGATACAAAACAATATAGCCTTCAAAAATGACTTATGCTTGGTTTTGATTCATGGACATACAGAAATATTTAGACACAAAAAACTCAAACACCCATCTTGTCTCAATTAGACAGCCCAGCATAGAAGACAGAAGCAAGCAGGAAAGAAAAAGAGAGTTTAGATAATTCATTCAAGGATAAGTAAGAAGAATATACTGAAATCTAATTTTCCAGAAAAGAATTTATCCAAAAGGATTAGGCTTTTGTTCTCTTTCTATTGCTGATGTCTCAAATAGTAATTATGCTCATGTCCCAGCGATAAAACGATCATGTCAAACCAGACTCACTTCAGCTGCCACATGAGCCTTATATAACAAGACCAGGTTTCAGCCCGTTTTCTATAGTAACAACTATAACCACTTGTTAAAGCTTTAACAATGACAATGTGCTGCCAAAACATTATTTCAATTGAGCCTCATAATAAATTAATAAATCTATGAAGTAGATGTAACTTTTATCCTCATTTTCAGAGGAGAAAACTTGAATTCAGAGAGAATGAGTGGTTTTCCTGGGTCAGAGGAATGATAACTCCCATCAGGACTAACCACAAATCTCACAGCCTTTCCACTGGCCCACTTGGCTCCTTCAGAGGAAGGCACAGCAGCCTTTTACCAGAAGAGCCTGGGACAATCAGCAGTCCCAGCATTAAACAGTCCTCTTTGTCCTAAATAGCCCCCAAAATATGCTGTACGATATGACGTCCAGGATTCTTAGGCACGAGCTGTTGATCTGGAAAGCTTCACTAATTAGGGCTAGCCTACACAGAAAAGGAACCTAACTATTCCATAAGCATGCTCCCAGCACTGTTGAACTTGGTTCCACAAATCCATTTACACTTGTTTTCAATTTGCTTCGCAAGTATTCTTAAGGTATTTTCCCCATGTGTCCTGTCTGTACAAGAACACAGGGACCATGTAGGTCTGTGTTCACAGCTCTACCCCTTAGCACCCAAGACAATGCTGAGTAGATGGTTCAATAACCACTTGGGGTATGAACTCAAGGGCAAGGACGTGGTCTTGCAATTTTTATATCACTTCTGACTACAAATGTACTATCCTGGGAATTCAAACATATGCTACTGACTACACGCAGAAAGGAATTACATTTAGTAAGCACAGAGAGTAAGTACAATTAGTACCTTTTTTCCCCTCTTTCTTCCCTTCAGACCACTTCAATCTTGTTGGTGTCATCGTGACAGCTGGAGAGCCAGAAAATAACTGTAATAAGAAAATTGTACAGTGGTTTCAATGTTCTAATGGCATTCCTATAGAGAGACTTTACTAAATGAATTGTTTGTTTAATTTCAATGTGAAGAGTTTTTCTGAGACTGACATATTTATATCTCATTAATCTTAACTGATTTACTGCTGGCTTAATGAAGTAGGCATGCCTAGGATATCTTGAAGCACCACCCCACAGGTAATGTAGACCTCAAATGTCACCTGTCACCTGTGGCTCAAATGTCACCTGTCACCTGTGGAATCTCCCAGTAAGAAGTAACTGCTTCCTCCAGCACTTGTTTAAGGAGCTATTGTACTGTATTACTCATCTGCTTGTGACTAGTGATATCCTTCTTGAACTCAAAATGTGTGTTTGTTGAATGAATCAATGAAAACCAACAGAAAGAAGGTAGCATAAACGAAAGGACTGAGAAAAAGCCATTTGAATGGCCCAAAGAAACACAGAAAAACAGATGACAGTATATCAATTTTCCTCTTTTCTACAAATATATACACACAGACAGACAGTCCAAAGAACAGTGTCTTACTGAGTTCCTATTTTCTTTGCTGGCTCCCTTCAATTCACCAATGGCCACAGATTCTGGAGTGGGGTTCCTCTTTTTCTTTTCTGACATCATCTGATTTCCCAGGACCTTCCGCTGATTTAAGAACAGAAAACATTTGATTTATAAACACCTACTGTATCAATAGTGGTGAAGGCTAGGATAGCTTTCAAAACTGTATACTAGCCTTCAAAACTGTAATGTCCTTGGGTTAAAAAAATCTCAGCATTCTGATAACTCTGTATGGACCCTCTCAGGCCATCTTACACAAGAGAGGCCAAAGTATGTTACCAAAAAAACCCCAAATCATTACTTTTGTTTAAGTGATCACTTTTCCTCCACATTTAAAAGGGCTGAAAGGTTAGAAGCAACTTTATAGTGGATTTAAACAAGCTAATATAGGTCAATTACAGTGTGCTTCTGAGACCAGTTAACTCACAATATAGAAACACCAGTTGCTCATCATATAATTTTTTCTCCAAAGATGTGCTGTCTCTGGCAACTATTTAAAAAGTCCCTCCCCTCTACTCACCACTAAGGGATACTTAGGCTGGCTCTTCTCTAAGGCACTTCTTCCTCCCTGTCATTTACTCACACAGGACTGGAACATTTGGAGACATTCTATAAGAGTTCTTAATATAGCGACAAGAAGGTAGAGGCCTTCTTAAGGGGGTCACATGACTATACTGACATTCAGAGCAAGACTAAAAGCTCTTTCATCTCTGAACAGCTTAGAAATGATGTAGTTTACATAACCGCCAACAGTGATAATTCTACCATCTTTGGAGAAATCTTTCTTTTTTTCCCTTAGAGAATAAATTTGAATTCCAAAAAAAGAACATATCAAAACTAGAACATTAAACCCTACATTATAAATATCAGCAGCAATATTCAGAACATTCTGATTTAATAAATAATTTACATGAGAGGAGTTCTACAGGAAAAATCTCTAGCCAAAAAAGGGATCGAGACAGGCTAGATGGTCAATTATACCTTGATAAGGCTGAGGGAAAACACAAGTTAAAAATAATATTTTAGGCCAGGAGCAGTGGCTCACACCTGTAATCTCAGCACTTTGGGAGGCTGAGGCGGGTGAATCACTTGAGACCAGGAGTTTAAGACCAGCCTGGCCAACATGGTGAAATACTGTCTCTACTAAAAATACAAAAATTAATTGGGCGTAGTGGTGCATGCCTGTAATCCCAGCTACTCGGGAGGCTGAGGCATGAGAATCACTTGAACCCAGGAAGCGGAAGTTGCAGTGAGCTGAGATCATGCTACTGCACTCCAGCCTATGCAACACAGTGAGACTGTGTCTCACCAAAAAAAAAGACTAACGCATAGAGAAACATTTATCTGACTATAACCTTTCTGATTATCAATCATCTCTATTACAGGGAAGTCAGAGGGAATGATAGATTCTTCCAAATGAGAAGAAAAAAATGAGAATAAACTAAGGATGTTCATTTTACTAGCCCTGAATAAGCAGGTAAATGTACTTTTAGGATTCTAGCTAAGAGATTTTTTTTTTAATGGGATAAAAGAAACATAACATAAAATGTACTATTTTAATCTTTTTCTTTTGAGACTGAGTCGTGCTCTGTCACCCACGCTGGAGTGCAGTGGCACGATCTTGGCTCACTGCAAGCTCTGCCTCCCAGGTTCATGACACTTTCCTGTCTCAGCCTCCCGAGGAGCTAGGACTACAGGCGCCCGCCACCATGCCCGGCTAATTTTTTGTATTTTTAGTAGAGATGGGGTTTCACTGTGTTAGCCAGATGGTCTCGATCTCCTGACGTTGTGATCCACCCGCCTCGGCCTCCCAAAGTGCTGGGACTACAGGTGTGAGCCACTGCGCCCGGCCCCTATTTTAACCATGTTTAAGTATACAGTTCAGTGGTATTAAGTATCTTCATAGTGTTGTGCAATCATCACCATCATCCATCTTCAGAACTTTCTCATCCTCCCAAACAGAAATACTGTACCTATTAAATAATATCTCCTCATTCTCCTCATACTCTTAGCTCCCCTGACAACCAACCACCTTCTCTACTTTCTGTCTCTACAAACCTGACTCATAGGTACCTCAGTGGAATCATACAGTATTTTTCCTTTTATGACTGGATTATTTCCCTTAGCATAATGTCTTCAAGATTCATGCATATTGTAGAATATGTCAGAATTTCCTTCCTTTTTAAGGACAAATAATGTTCCACTATCTGTATATCCAAGTTTTGTTATTCATTCATCAGTCAATAGACAGCTGGGTTGCTTCTCCCTTTTGGCTATTGTGAATAATGCTGCTATGAAGACGGGTGTATGAATATTGCCTCAAGACCCTGCTTTCGATTCTTTTGGGTATATACTGGGAGTAGCATTGCTAGATGATAAGGTCATTCTCTTTAAATTTTTTAGGAACTGCAATACTGTTTTCCTCAGTAGCTGCTCCATTTTACATTCCTATCAACAGTGCACAGGTGGGCTGGGCGCGGTGGCTCAAGCCTGTAATCCCAGCACTTTGGGAGGCCGAGACGGGCGGATCACGAGGTCAGGAGATCGAGACCATCCTGGCTAACATGGTGAAACCCCGTCTCTACTAAAAATACAAAAAAATAAGCCGGGCGAGGTGGCGGGCGCCTGTAGTCCCAGCTGCTCGGGAGGCTGAGGCAGGAGAATTGCGCGAACCCGGGAGGCGGAGCTTGCAGTGAGCAGAGAGCGGGCCACTGCACTCCAGCCTGGGTGACAGAGTGAGACTCCGTCTCAAAAAAAAAAAAAAAAAAAAAAAAAAAAAAAAAAAACAGTGCACAGGGATTCCAATTTCTCCACATCCTCATCAACATTTGTTATTTTGGTTTTTTTTTTTTTTTATAATAGCCATCCTAGTGGGTGTGAAGTGGTATCTACTTGTGGTTTTGATTTACATTTCCCTAATGATTAGTAATATTGAACATCTTTTCATATGCTTCTTGGCCATCTGTACATCTTCTCTGGAGAAATGTCTATTTTATTCCTTTTTTTTTTTTTTTTGGAGAGGAAGTCTCGCTCTATCACCCAGGCAGAAGTGCAGTGGCGCAATCTCGGCTTACTGCAACCTCCACCTCCTGGGTTTAAATGATTCTCCTGCCTCAGCCTCCAGAGTAGCTGGGACTATAGGCACGTGCCAACATGCCCGGCTAATTTTTTGTATTTTTAGTAGAGATGGAGTTTCACCATGTTAGCCAGAATGGTCTTAATCTCCTGACCTCATGATCCGCCCACCTCAGCCTCCCAAAGTGCTGGGATTACAGGCGTGATCCACCACGCCTGGCCTTTGCCCACTTTTTAATGAGGTTGTTTTTGCTGTGTTGAGTTACAGGAGTTCTTTAGATTATTACGGATATTAACCCCTAATCATACATATGATTTGCAAATATTTTCTCCCAATCCAGGGGTTGCCTTTTCACTCTGTAGATGGCAAAGGAAATTTTGGTGTCAACTAAGCCTAATGTCCTAGAAGCTACTGGCCCCAGGTCAGCATTGAAAGTGAATTCTAGATATCTATAAATTATAACTAGGACCAAAATTACAGTAAGATGAATTTGTAAATGCTAACAGCTGTACCTTAAAAAAAAAAAAAAAAAAAAAAAAATTACAGACATAGTGGCTCACATCTGTAATCTCAGCACCTTAGGGGGCCAAAGCAGGAGGATCGCTTGAGCCCAGAAATTCAAGATCAGCAACACAGGCTGTGCATGGTGACTCACGCCTGTAATCTCAGCACTTTGGGAGGCCGAAGCGGGCAGATTACCTGAGGCCAGGAGTTCAAGACCAGGCTGACCAACATGGTGAAACCCCGTCTCTACTAAAAATACAAAAAATTAGCCAGGCATGGTAGTGGGCACCTATAATCCCAGCTACTCGGGAGGCTGAGGTGGAAGAATCGCTTGAACCCCAGAGGTAGAGGTTGCAGTGAGCTGAGATCACACCACTGCACGCCAGCCTGAGACACAGAGAGAGACTCTGTCTCTAAAAAAAAAGACCAGCAACACAGCAAGACCCCATCTCTACAAACATTTAAAAATCAGCCAGGCCTGACGGCATGCACTTGTGGTCCCAGCTACTTGGGAGGCTGAAGAAGGAGGATAGCTGAGTGCCCAGGAGATCAAAGCTGCAATAAGCCACGATAGTGCCACTTGTACTTCAGCCTGGGCAACAGAGCAAGACACTGTCTCAAAAATAAAAAAATAAATATTACAAGTTATTTATTTTTAGGGCAAAAATTTTAAATTTTAAGCAAAGAGCTCCTTATGTGGCTGGAATTATAGATCTTAATAACAATTTTTAAAAGAAAAGCAGGGCAAAACACCAAAAAATCAAAATAAAACGAAGTCATTATCCTCAGCAAACTAACACAGGAACAGAAAACCAAACACCACATGTTCTCACTTATGAGTAGGAGCTGGCCGGGTGCGATGGCTCATGCCTATAATCCCAGCACTTTGGAAGGCCAAAGTGGGTGGATCACTTGAGGTCAGGAGTTTGAGACCAGCCTGGCCAACATGATGAAACCCCATCTCTACTAAAACTACAAAAATGAGCCAGTCATGGTGGTGCATGCCTGTAGTCCCAGCTACTTGGGAGGCTGAGGCAGGAAAATGGCTTGAAACCAGGAGGCAGAGGCTGCAGTGAGCCGAGATCAAGCCACTGCACTCCAGCCTGGGTAACAGAGAGAGGCTCCATCTAAAAATTAAAAAAAAAAGTGGAGCTAAACAATGAGAATACATGGACACAGGGAGGGGAACAACACACACTGGGGCCTGTTGGGGGGTGTGGTTGGGGGAGAGAGAGTATTAAGAAAAATAGCTGGCCAGACGCAATGGCTTATGCCTATAATCCCAGCAATTTGGGAGGCTGAAGTGGGCGAATCACCTGAGGTCAGGAGTTCCAGACCAGCCTGGCCAACATGGTGAAACCCCCTCTCTATTAAAAAGACAAAAATTAGCCGGGTATGGTGGCAGGCACCTGTAATCCCAGCTACTTGGGAAGCTGAGGCAGGAGAATCACTTGAACCCAAGAGGGGGAGGTTGCAGTGAGCCAAGACTGTGTCATTGCACTCCAGCCTGGGTGACAACAGTGAGACTCTGTTTCAAAAAAAAATTTTTTAATAAAAATAGCTGCTAATGCATGCTGGGCTTCATGCCTAGGTGATGGGTTGACAGGTGCAGTAAACCACCATGGCACACATTTACCTATATAACAAACTTGCAATCCTGCACATGTATCCAGAACTAAAAATAAAAAAAAAGTAAATAAATAAAAAAAAGAATACTCAGTGCTTTGGGGGCAGCAATCTCTTCCAAAAAACAAAAAAAAGAAAAGTAGAAAAGAAAAGCAGTGTATGGTACTAATCTCTCTCCAAGTTAACCAAAACCTTGCCTTAGTTCATGCATGGAAATTTGAACCCCATGATCAAGTTATCTACTGCCACCTGAAGGCAATATTCCTTCACTACAAGTTTCGATAGTCTGAAGACTTGTAAATTTAATCCTCAAACACCATGACAGCAGCAATAACATGGAAGCATATTTTGTATTTGTTTTAAAAACAAGATTTTTACTGAATTTGATATATGGAAGAAAGTACAACTGTTAAAAATATTAAGCTCACAAAAATCTGGGGTATCAAAACTCACTAGTCTGTTAGAAAATTCAGTTTTCTAACAGTTTCCCTAGTCTGTCACAACTTCCTCACTTCTCCACGGGTTTACCAAATTGCATAAAAAAGTGTGTAACTTGAAGCAGGTCAGAAAACAAAAGAGGCCGCTTACACTGCTCAGGAATGCAGACTCTGTCCTCAGCCCCAGAAGAAAAGGAAGGACCCTTACTTCTAGTACTCCTCACTTCACAGAGCCCCTTCTCTGATGTGAAACACGGCAAAGCACTTTGCAATATAAAAGCTTTTCAACATTTCACCTTTACCCCCTTATAAATTTATAGGGTCCCCAAAAACAGAAGAAAACTTTTTATGCATAAGAAAAATCACATTGTTACATTTCCTAAAAATCAATGCTGAAAATGACAGCCCAGCATACCTACCTTAATAAGCCCACTGAAGGAGCGTGAACGAGCCCTCTTTTGTACCTGGGAAGTAGAAGGTTCTCGCACTGGTGTCTGGGTCAATGACTGCTTATTAAACTAAAAGAAAATATAGAGAACATTTTATAAATATTTTCCCATCAAGACACATCATTCTGTGACAACTAATAGCTAAGTGTAAATAAAAGTCCAGGAAAAACTGAGTCTGTACATAGATGGATTAGGAGGTCAACAAGCAAATTACAAAGTCAGAAATGATGATGCCAAAAGAATTGGATTCAATTGCTCTGAGGGGCTCTGCACGCCACATTCCTTGAATGTAGAATTACTGTCCCTATTTTATAGACAAAAAAACTGAGACTTGGAGAGTTTATGAAATTTACCCACGATCCTCAGCTGCTAACCAAGACTTTTTTGCAACAAAGCATCTTGGAACCACAGAGTTACTGGCACAATCTAAAACAGTCTCTAATTTAATATAAATTGCATACAGAAATTTTTTAAGTTACTAAAACTCTTTAAATGGACATCTATCATGACTGCCGGCCAACAATATCATCAGAGGAAATACATCAGAATGCAGACTTGTCAATGCTCTCAACATCAGCTCTCTGGAGGTACCTAAAGTGGAAAACGAAAAGACCCAACGCATTGAATAATCTTATTCAATGCTTTGATTAGCCATTCATTTCCCACTTAAAAAGTAATAATAATATAGCATTTAACTCTTCTATTCTTCTGCCTTTTCTGGTTGTTGTTGTTGGAGACAAGAGTCTCACACTATTGCCCAGGCTGGAGTGCAATGGCACAATTGCGGCTCACTGCAACCTCCGCCTCCCAGGTTCAAGCAATTCTCATGCTTCAGCCTCACAAATAGCTAGGATTACAGGCGTGCGCCACCACACTCAGCTAATTTTTTCTATTTTTAGTAGAGATGGGGTTTCATTGTGTTGGCCAGGCTGATCTCGAACTCCTGACCTCAAGTGATCCGCCCACCTCGGCCTCCCAAAGTGCTAGGATTACAGGCGTGGGCCACCATACCCAGCCTCTTCTGCCTTTTCTAACTATACTTTTAAAATTTTGGAATTGTAAAAATTTGGAAATTTTATCAGTTCGAGTTCTGGAGGTTAAAAATTATTTTTACATAAAACTACCAAGAGGTTCTCAAAGTTAATTATCTCGGCAAGCAGAAAAATTAGCCACGTCTAAAGAGCTTAGCTAGTAAGTATCCCTCCTGAATAAATTGGGACAAGTAAAAATGCATCGTTCCTGATATTGGCAAGGGTACAGTAAGGTAAATTCTCTCATATCCAACTCAGGGGAGTGTTACCTGGCAAAATGTTCTGGGAGGGTATTTAGCAAGGTGTATCCAGAGCCTTTTTAAAATGCATATTAAAAAGTACACGCCACTAAAAATACAAAAATTAGCCAGGCATGGTGGCGTATATCTGCAGTCTCAGCTACTCAGGAGGCTGCAGTGGGAGGATCATGATCACCTGAGCCCAGGGAGGTTGAGGTTGCAGTGAGCCATGATTGTGCCACTGCACTCCAGCCTAGGCAACAGACTCAGAAAAAAAAAAAAAAAGTATACACCACACATAAAGGGTTCTTAGCCTGAAAAACTGAATTAGAATCAGATCAAACCTCTAGAAGTAGATCTAACTACCAGTTTATAGCATGAACAGTGGACTGTGAAACATGTTGAATAACATCACAGGAATGCAATCATTAAAATCCAGACTACAGGCCAAGCACAGGGGCTCATGCCTGTAATCTCAGCACTTTGGGAGGCCAAAGCCAGCAGATCACTTGAGCTCAAGAGTTCATCACCAGCCTAGGCAACATGGTGAAACTCTGTCTCTACAAAAAATACAAAAAATTAGCCAGGCATGATGGTACACGCCTGTAGTTCCGGCTACTCAGGAGGCTGAAGTGGGAGGATGGCTTGAACCCAGGAGGCAGAGGTTGCAGTGAGCTGAGATCACATCATTCCAGCCTAGGCAACATAGCTAGACCTTGTCTCAAAAGAAAAAAAAAACAAAACTCAGCCTATGGAAGACAATATAGTTTCTTCCACAAATAAGTTTCAAATACAATAATGTACCACATAATGACATTCTGGTCAATGACAGACCACACATATGACAGTAGTCTCATCAGATTATAATGGAGGTGAAAAATTCCTATCACCTAATGGCATCACTGCCGTCCTAACATCGCAGCACAATGTGTTACTCAAATGACTGCAGTGATGCCGGAATAAACAAACCTACTGTACGGCTAGCTGTATAAAAGTCTAGTACATACCATTATATATAGCACATAATTCTTGATAATGATAATAAATGGGCTAGACATGGCAGCTCACACCTGTAATCCCAACACTTTAGGAGGCCGAGACAGGTGGGTCACTTGAGACCAGAAGTTCAAGACTAGCCTGGCCAACAGGGTGAAACCTCATCTCTACTAAAAATATAAAAATTAGCCAGGCATGGTGGCAGGCGCCTGTAATCCCAGCTACTCAGGAGTCTGAGGCAGGAGAATCACTTGAACCCGGGAGGCAGAGGTTGCAGTGAGCCGAGTTCACACCATTGCACTCCAGCCTGGGTGACAGAGCGAGACTCCATCTCCAAAAAAAAAAAAAGATAATAAATGTTACTGGTTTATGTATTTACTATACTATACTTTTATCATTATTTATACTTTTTACTATTATTTTAGAGTGTACTCCTACTTATTTTTTTAAAAAAGTTAACTATAAAACAGCCTCAGGCAGGTCTTTCGGGAGGTATTCTAGAAAAAGGCATTGTTATCATAGAAGATGACAGCTCCATGAGTGTTACTGCCTCTGAAGACCTTCTAGTGGAATAAGATGTAGAGGCAGAAGACGGTGATATTAATGATCCTGTGTAGGCCTAGGTTAATGTGTATATTTGTGTCTTCAGTTTTGGGGTTTTTTTATCTTTTAAAGACGGGGTCTCGCTCTGTTGCCCAGGCTGGAGTGCAGTGGGAGGGATCAGAGCTCACTGCAGCCTCAAACTCCTGGGCTCAAGTGATTCTTCCTGCTGAGGCTGAGGCCTCCTGACTAGCAGGACTACAGGCACACACTCACGAGCCCAGTTCACTTTTTTTTATATTTTGTGGATACAAGGTCAATGCTGCCCAGGGTGGTCTCAAACTCCTGGCCTAAAGCAACCCTCCCACTTTGGCCTCCCAAAGTGCTGGGATTACAGGAGTGAGTCACCACGCCCAGGCTGTGTCTTAATTTTTAATTAAAAAGTTTTAAAATTTACCAAAAAAATTAAAAGTTTTTAAAATAGAAAAAAGCTTATAAAGATATAAAGAAAATATTTTGTACAGATGCATAGTTTTTGTGTTTTAAGCTAAGTGGTATTACAAGAGTCAGAAAGTTAAAAAAGTTTTAAGTCTGTAAAGCAAAAAAGTTACAGTAGGCTAAAGGTAATTAATTATTGAAGAAAAAAATGTTATGTTTAGTCTAGCCTAAGTGTACAATGACTATAAAGCCTACAGCCGTGTACAGCAATGTTCTAGGTCTTCACATTCACTCACTACTCACTCACTGACACACCTAGAATAACTTCCAGTCCTGCAAGCTCCATTCATGGTAACTGCCCAATACAGGTATACTATTTTTTATCTTTTATACTGTATTTTTACCGTACCTTTCCTATGTTTAGATACACAAATACTTACCATTGTTACAAATGCCTACAGTACTCAATACAAGAACATCCCGTACATGTTTGTAGCCCAGAAGCAACAGGCTACACCATACAGCCTAGGTGTGTAGTAAGCTACGCCATCTAGGTTTATGTAAGTACACTCTGTGATGTTCACACAACAATGAAATCACCTAAAAACACATTTCTTAGAACATATCCCAATCATCAAGTGACACATGACTATAAAGAAAAAAGGAGTGGGCCAGGCACGGTGTCTCACGACTGTAATCCCAACACTTTGGGAGGCCAAGGTGGGGGGATCACGAGGTCAGGAGATTGAGACCATCCTGGCCAACATGGTGAAATCCCATCTCTACTAAAATACAAAAAAAATTAGCCAGGCGTGGTGGCGCACGCCTGTAGTCCCAGCTATCCTGGGGGCTGAGGCGGGGGAATCGCTTGAACTCAGGAGGTGGAGACTGCAGTGAGCCGAGATCGGAGATCACGCCACTGCACTCCAGCCTGATAACAGAGCAAAACTCCGTCTCAAAAAAAAATAGAAAAAAAAACCAAAAAGGGAGTGAGAGACAGAGAGAGAGAGAGAGAGAGAGAGTGTGTGTGTGTGTGTGTGTGTGTATGTGTGTGTCTGTGTGTCTGTGTGTGTCTAAATGTAGTGTGGCACCCTGGATTGGATCCTGGAGCAAAAAAAAAGGATATTGGGGGGGAAAAAAAAGTAAAATCTGTAATGTTAATAAGTAATGTACTAATTTTTTTTTTTTTTTTGACACAGAGTTTCACTCGTTGTCCAGGCTGGAGTGCAATGGTGTGATCTCGGCTCACAGCAACCTCTGCCTCCCTGGTTCGAGCGATTCTCCTCTGCCTCAGCCTCCCGAGTAGCTGGGATTACAGGCCTGCGCCATCACACCTGGCTAATTTTGTATTTTTAGTAGAGACAGGGTTTCTCCATGTTGGTCAGGCTGGTCTCGAACTCCCGACCTCAGGTGATCCGCCCGCCCCAGCCTCCCAAAGTGCTGTGATTACAGGCATGAGCCACCCTGCCTGGCCCTGTACTAATGTTAATTTCTTAGTTTTTATAATGTTAATATTATGGGGAATTGGGTAAAGGGTACTTACCCAGTTTTTATTTTAAAGTGTATTCAAACAAATTGGCAATGTTTTAAGGGGAAAAACAAGAAGAAAGGGAGAAAAAGAGGGACTTATCTATTAAAAGGGACCTAGTACATATAGCAGCCAAAAAAATAATATATACTCGTTCATCATGCCACTTCTAGCAAATAATCTACAATGAAAATACTTATGAACAAAATTTATAAACTAAAAATATAATTCCCAAATACGTCCTGTAGTAGGCAAATTATGTATAAATTTGGTTATACAGAATAGAATATTATATAAACATTTAAGGTTGGGCATAGTGACCCATGCCTATAATCCCAGCACTTTGGGAACCCAAGGCAGGCAGATCACCTGAGGCCAGCAGTTCGAGACCAGCCTGGCCAACATGGTATAATCCCGTCTCTACTAAAAGTACAAAAATTAGCCAGGCATGGTGGTGCTCCACTGTAATCTCAGCTACTTGGGAAGCTGAGGCAGGAGAACTGTTTGAGCCCAGGAGGTGGAGGCTGCAGTGAGGTGAGATCACGCCACTGCATTCCAGCCTAGGTGACAGAGGGGAACTCTGTCTCAAAAAAAAAAAAAAAAAAGAATATTACATAAACATTGAAACTGTTCATAGCCTTTTAATAATACGAGAAATGTTTGTAATATAAAGTTAAATGAAAAGGGCAGAATATAAAACAATACATATTATGATTTTTTCTTTTGGCCCAGATGTAAGGGCTCAAATATGATCTTAAGTAAAAGAAAACAATGTGAAACACATATTCATGGAGAGAAACACTAGGACGAAATACTCTAAAATGTTATTAGTGTTTACCTCTGGATGTGTATAGGTGATTTTTATGTTCTCTTTACACACTTCTGAGAGTTTCAATGTTTCTATAGTGAGCATATATAATTTTTATAATCATAGAGAAAAAATTAGAACACAATAAAATTATAATTTCTTCAAAAAGATACAACAGGCTGGGTGCGGTGGCTCACACCTGTAATCCCAGCACTTTGGGAGGTGAGGCGGGCAGATCATTTGAGTTCAGGAGTTTGAGAACAGCCTGACCAACGTGGTGAAACCCCATCACTACTAAAAATACAAAAACATTAGCTGGGCATGGTGGCACATGCCTGTAATCCCAGCTACTCGGGAGGCTGAAGCAGGAGAATTGCTTGAATCCAGGAGGCAGAGGTTGCAGTGAGCCGAGATCGAGCCACTGCACTCAAATATGATCTTTTACTTAAGATCATATTTACTTAAGATCATATTTGAGCCCTTACATCTACACTCCAGCCTGGGCAACACAGCGAGACTCCGTCTCAAAAAAAAAGAAAGATACAGCAGTATTTAAAATGTATGGAAGGATGGCTAGGTGCAGTGGCTCACACCTGTAAGCCCAGCACTTTGGGAGGCAGAGACGGGTGGATCACTTGAGGTCAGGAGTTCAAGACCAGCCTGGCCAACATGGTGAAACTCCATCTCTACTAAAAATGCGAAAATTAGTCGGGCGTGGTGGCGCACGCATGTAGTCCTAGCTACTCAGGAGGCTGACGCAGAAGAATTGCTTGAACCTGGGAGGCAGAGGTGGCAGTGAGCTGAGATCGTACCACCGCACTCCAGCCTGGGCAACAGAGCAAGACTCTGTCTCAAAAAACTAAAACTAAAAATAAAAATAAAATAAAATGTATGGAAGGAGTCTGTCTGCATGCATAACAAATGCTTAGACTGTCATGTTTAGTGAAAACAGGAAAAAATTTTAAAGTATATGGTATGATCATAACTATGTAAAAAAATATCCAGAGGAAAAAGACCAAAAGACAAAAAAAATGCACACAACATAAACACTGGCAGAAAGAGTGATTTGCTTTCTTCTTATCCTCTATAATTTTCTGTTTTTCTAAAAAGTGCAAAATTTTTTTCTTTCTTAAGTATCAGTGTTCTTTTTTTTTTTTTTTTTTTGAGACGGGGTTTCGCTCTTGTTGCCCAGGCTGGAGTGCAATGCCATGATCTCGGCTCACTGCAACCTCTGCCTCCCGGGCTCAAGCAATTCTCCTGCCTCAGCCTCCAGAGTAGCTGGGATTACAGGCATGAGCTACCACACCTGGCTAATTTTGTTTTTGTTTTGTTTTGTTTTTTGAGACGGAGTTTCACTCTTGTTGCCCAGGCTAGAGTGCAATGGCATGATCTCAGCTCACCACAACCTCTACCTCCTGGGTTCAAGCAATTCTCCTGCCTCAGCCTTCCGAGTAGCTGGGATTACGGGCATGCGCCATGCCTGGATGATTTTTTTTTTGTATTTTTAGTAGAGACCAGGTTTCTCCATGTTATGCTGGTCTCGAACTCCCAACCTCAGGTGATCTGCCCGCCTCGGCCTCCCAAACTGCTGGGATTACAGGCGTGAGCCACCGCACCCGGCCCTAATTTTGTATTTTTAGTAGAGACGGGGTTTCTCCATGTTGGTCAGGCTGGTCTCGAACTCTTGACCTCAGGTGATCCACCCGCCTCGGCCTCCCAAAGTGCTGGGATTACAGGTGTGAGCCACTGCGCCCAGCCGGTATCAGCGTCCTTGTTCAAAGAAGTCATTATACCTGTCCTATATGAAACTACTTAGTTTCTATCAAGAATTAAATCACTAGACTGGTTTGAATCTGCAGCAATACTCAGCCAACACCCTGTAAAATTCTAACACAATTTGCTAGATCTCAAAGTAACTTCAAAGAGATGGCAGAAACTTTTCTCAAATGACTTTGTCAATTTGTAAGAACAGCTCAGTTCACCATTATCTGAGTACTTGTTTATACCTGGCCTTACGCTGAGTAGGCATAAAATAAGTAAAAAGAGACTCTTCCTCCAAGAAAGTCCCAGTTGAATAAAAGTCAAGAGGCTGACCGTGCCTGTTCAGGTAAAATTCAAGAAGGATTGAGACAAAATTAATCTCCTTAGAAAGAAACTACCCAAAGTCACAGGACTTACTTAAACCACACTGAGTCCCAAAATAGTAAATTTGTTCCCATAGCTCCAGCATAAACAAACTTAGCCACCAGAATTCCTACTTTCTAGTATCACACTAGGGCCCTGATTTATTGTGTTCTCTAACTGCAAACGACTCTGTTAGTAAAAAGTTACCACTTAGACTTTGCTATGCCAGCCACTCTACATAGATTATCTCTAATTTTTAGAACTATGAAACATTGAGGTTACTATTACCATTTTACAAACAAGAAAACTGAACCTCAGAAAAGCTATTTGCTAAGAAAATCTGGAGGGTTTAAACTTTGGAACAATATAGTGAAACTGCTGGTCCTCTCTCAGCAAACTTGGGACACGACCAAAATGAGAGACACTCTAATCACACTTGGATCCTCCCGCTTAACTGTAGAAATCAAGAGCCTCCACTCCTTTCTCTAGTGGAGCAGTGGCACAGAGATCGCCGTGGAGATTCCATAGACAAGCCTGCTTTCTTGGCTGAGCCAAAAATTAAATGAGATTCTTAACAATATGACCTACTGATTCTACAACCACGATTACACTCCGAAAGCCCCATCGCGACTTCCCTGCCTTTAGGCACCTGTCTAATAAGTTGTTTCTTCTTTGCTGACTCTGGCATATTGCGAACGTGTTGAAACAGCTCTCTCAGTGCCTCTTCCGTATGCTGCTGGGTCTCCTCCTGGTGAGGGCAGGAATCTACCCGGTTACGTTTCTGAAACTTTGCCAGCTGAAAGGACTTAGTATGACATGAAGCTATCAGGTCAAGGTCATCCTAAGGAAAATTTAAAAGAAGAGTAAATTAATATATCCTGCTAAGTTTGTTTTGGGGTTCTTACAAAAACCTGGAACAAAAAAAGGGAGAGTGGTGACATGGTATACTCCTATACTCAGGAACAAGAAAAATCTTAACACTATTATCAGATAACAAGGAACCTATTAATATAGGTTATATTAATAGCCCACTCCCATGACCTGCCCAGAGAACCTAAGTGCATTTAGAATACTGCCATCAAGAGCTATATTTGTATAAGAGTTCAGTTTTTAAAGCATCTTTTAATTTCATTAATTTATTCAACAATTCAACAAGGTAAGCATGGAAAGTATCATGATTCCCATCTGATGGAGGAAAAACACTGAGGTTAAACTGTTAAGTTTAAAGTCATCTGGATACTAAAGTGACAGATCCACCTGGGAGCCCAAGGGCTCTGACTCTCGGCTAATACTCATTCCCACACATGGCAACTTAATATGAGAACTAGACAGCAGTGCTAGAGGAACAAAAACAGCTCTCTAACAAAAAACTACACTCCATTTAAACTAGTTGAAACCAAATACTGTTTTCCTGGTAACACTGAATATTTGCTGAATAAGAGGGAGAAACAAATAGGAGCAGAAAAAATAGCACAAGTGGACAACTTAAGTTTCTAACCATGACAGGATGAATAGAACTTGAAAAATTTAAGTACTCAAAAAGTGTTTGTAAAGTTTTTAACTTCTGACTTTGCTTTTTTTTTTTTTTCAAAGCAGGAGTGCAAGTTTATTTAAAAAGGCTTAGAACAGGAAAGAAAGGAAAATATGCTTGGAAGAGACCCGAGCAGGCACATAAAGGTCAAGTGCCTAACTTCTCACTTTTTTTATTTTTTTGAGATGGGGTCTCACTCTGTCACCCAGACTGGAGTACAGTGTCACCATCTTGGCTTACTGCAACCTCTGCCTCCTGGGCTCAAGTGATCCGCCCACCTCAGCCTCCCAAGTAGCTGAGACTACAGGTGCGTGCCACCACACCTGGCTAATTTTTTGCATTTTTGGTAGAGACGGGGTTTGGCCATGTTACCCAAGCTGGTCTCAAACTCCTGATCTCAAGTGATCCACCTGTCTCGGCCTCTGAAAGTGCTAGGATTACAGGCATGAGTCACCACACCTGGCCATAACTTCTTACTTTTAAAACTCAATAATCATATCTAGGCTGGATGCGGTGGATCATGCCTGTAATCCCAGCACTTTGGGAGGCTGAAGCAGCCGGACCACTTAAGCCCAGAAGTTTGAGACCTGGGCAACATGGTGAAACCCTGTCTCTACCAAAAATACAAAAACTAGCGGGCATGGTGGTGCATGCCTGTAGTCCCAGCTACTCAGGAGGTTGACGTGAGAGGACCAGGGAGCCGAGATCATGCCACTGCACTCCAGCTTACCCGACAGAGTGAAACCCTGTCTCAAAAAAAAAAAAAAAAAAATCATTATCATATCTAATCTTGTGAATAAGCATTATACATTTCCCTATCTATCTAAGCTCATCTGGTCTCAAGTCTTTTAGCCATTTGATAGAGTTTTACCATACCAATGAACCTAAAATAGGAATGAATTACATAAAATTGATAAAATTGTCCTTTCATTCCTATAAAATATTTAACACATTTGCTATTCACAGATTATTTATATCAGAAGGACTTTATGAAAAACCTTGAAACACAGGGTCTGTGTCATCACTCTTGTGCAGAGGACACCATCTATCAGTAGAGAGCCTCTGAAAGCAAATAAAAATAGTGTGTGGGGGGGACTTTTTTTTTCAAGAGACAGGGTCTCACTGTGTTACCCAGGTTGGAATGCAGTGGCACAATCAGTTCACTGTAGACCTGAATTCTCCCATCTCAGCCTCCAGAGTCACTGGGATTACAGGCCTGAGCTACCACACCTCACATGTGGAGCATTTGTATTCTAATACATAACTTACTTCTTAGTCTTCTCCATTATGGCAAAATGACTAAGTAATTTTGAGCTATAATACTAAAAACTTATTTTCCAAGCTTTTACTTTGACTTCATACTTTGTTTTAAAACTCCACCAATCTTAACGTTCTCCTTGTTTAGGTTAAGAGCAGATTCCTATTCTTACCTTTGATGCCTGAGTTCTGGATCCCAAATAGTGCAATCTGGCATATTCCCGAATGTAAGCAGGAGCCTGGGCAGGACATAAAAGAAAATCAAAACCCAGTGATTACTAGGATGTAACATTCTCTCAGGCCATAAGGACAGTGGTTCTCAAAATCATGTGACCAGCAGATTACTTTAGAAAAGCCAAAGATCCTCAAAATCCATAGCCCCTCCATAGCTTCCTTTATCTTGCCACCAAATAGATACCTCAACAAATCTGATGGAAAAACTGTGAGAAGACACCAATGTAGTTGTTGCCACTTTAAAAATCAAATATGGCATGTATATATTCAAATAAGCCAAAGACAAAAATATAGACATTTGTAGGAATGTTTCTATCTGACAAAAACCACCCCCTCAAATCCTTACAAATTACAAGTGGTCTCCAGATCACATTTTAAAATCACAGTGTAGAAAATTCATTTAACGTCTGTAATCTCAGCACTTTGGGAGGCAGAAGCAGGAGGATCACTTCACCCCAGGAGTTTGAGACCAGCCTGGGCAACACAGGGAGACTCCTGTCTCTACAAAAAATTACTAAAAAATGGCCAAGCACGGTGGATCATGCCTGTAATCCCAGCACTATGGGAGGCCGAGATGGGTGGATCACCTGAGGTCAGGAGTTTGAGACCAGCCTGACCAACATGGTGAAACCCTGTCTCTACTAAAAATACAAAATTAGCTGAGCGTGGTGGCGTACGCCTGTAATCGCAGCTACTCAGGAGGCTGAGGCAGGAGAATTGCTTGAACCCAGGAGACAAGAGGTTGCAGTGAGCCAAGATCTCACCATTGCACTCCAGCCTGGGCAACAAGAGCAAAACTCTGTCTCAAAAAAAAAAAAAAATTACAAAAAAATTACCCGGGCATGGTGGTGCATGCCTGTGGTCCCAGCTACTCAGGAGACTAACGGTGAGAATCACTTGACCCCAGAAGTTCAAGGCTGCAGTGAGCCATGTTCATACCACTGCACTCCAGCCTGGGCAACAGAGCAAGACCCCGTCTCAAAAAAGAAAGAAAGAAAGAAATACCATTTATAATTACTATGGAGTAGAATCCTGTGACAACTACCCTGATACTGTCTTAGTAGATGTACAAAATAATACAACTACCATAGAGGAAAACTGGGTACGTAACATCTAATAAAATTACATTTGCATTTACCTTTTCACCCAGAAACCTCACTTCTGGTAACATATCCTGAGTATGTAACTCCAGAAATGCAAAACACACTTGTATAAGATTAATCAAGAAATTGGATACAACCCGAATGTTCTTTAACAGAGAACTGATTGAATCAACTTTCATACATCCATACAATACAGTACTATGAAAAAAGGAAGGGAGAGGAGACAGCGAGGGAAAGAAAGGAAGGAACAGAGGGAAAGAAAGAAAGGAAAGGAAAGGAGAGAGAGAAAAAGAAAGGACAGAGGGAAGGAAGAAACACTTAATTGATATGGAAGGATTTCTAGGATCTACTGTTGAGTGAGAAAAGTAAGTAAATGTACATTTGTATAAGAAAAAAATGGGAAATAGCAATATACACACAAATATACATTTACTTGTTTTTATAAAAAGAAACACTAAGAGGATAACCCAGAAAACAATGAAAATAATTAGAAAGGATTGAGATTTCTCTAAGTATATCTTTTAATGTGGTTTTGACTTTTTTTTTTTTTTTGAGATGGAGTCTCATTCTCTCACCCAGGCTGGAGTGCAATGGCACGATCTCGGCTCACTGCAACCTCCACCTCCCAGGTTCCAGTGATTCTTCTGCCTCAGCCTCCCAAGTAGCTGGGATCACAGGCACCCACCATCATGCCCAGCTAATTTTTGTACTTTTGTAGAGAGGCAGTTTCACCACGTTGGCCAGGCTGGTCTCAAACTCCTGACCTCAGGTGATCCGCCTGCTTCGGCCTCCCAAAGTGCTGGGATTACAGGCCTAAGCCACAGCACCTGGCCAGTTTTGACTTTTGAACCATGTTTACACTACAGGTTCATAACATAAAATTAAATCCAAAAGGAAAAAACAAGGCAAGCCCTAAAACCAAACACCCAACAGGAAAAAAAAAAAGAACATATCTGTATATCAAACTGACAATGTGAGCACAGAGAAAGAAATTTTTTTTTTTTTTTTTTTTTTTTTTTGAGACAGAGTCTCGCTCTGTCGCCCAGGCTGGAGTGCAGTGGCCGGATCTCAGCTCACTACAAGCTCTGCCTCCCAGGCGCCCGCCACCTCGCCCGGCTAGTTTTTTGTATTTTTTTAGTAGAGACGGGGTTTCACCGTGTTATTAGCCAGGATGGTCTCGATCTACTGACCTTGTGATCCGCCCGTCTCGGCCTCCCAAAGTGCTGGGATTACAGGCTTGAGCCACCGCGCCCGGCCTAGAAATTATTTCATATAACTTTTGAAAACTGTATTCTCGGCTGGGCGTGGTGGCTCACGCCTGTAATCCCAGCACTTTGGGAGGCGGAGGCAGGCGGATCACGAGGTCAGGAGATTGAGACCATCCTGGCTAACACAGTGAAACCCCGTCTCTACTAAAAATACAAAAAATTAGCCGGGCGTGGCGGCGGGCGGCTGTAGTCCCAGCTACTCAGAAGGCTGAGGCAGGAAAATGGCGTGAACCCGGGAGGCGGAGCTTGCAGTGAGCAGAGATCGCGCCACTGCACTCCAGCCTGGGTGACTGAGCGAGACTCCGTCTCAAAAAAACAAAAAAAGCTGTATTCTGACTATATATCCTTAGTGGGATATATTCAAGGAAAAAGGAATTGCAAGAAAATCTTGAACTTTAATCAGCAAGTTTATATAGGCTTACTGTCAGTAGTAACAGTTGTATTATTTTGAAATTAATTTAAGCTTATTGTAGGACAGAGTAAATAACATATACAAATGCCATTAAAATCCAAACTTTGGCCGGGCACAGAGGATCATGCCTGTAATCACAGCACTTTGGGAAGCCAAAGAGGGTAGATCACTTGAGCCCAGGAGTTTGAGACCAGCCTGGACAACATGGTGAAACCGCATCTCTACGAAAAATACAAAAATTAGCCGGGTGTGGTGGTGCTCACCTGTGGACCCAGCTACTCGAGAGGCTGAGGTGGGAGGATCGACTGGTCCCAGGAGGCAGAGGCTGCTGTAAGCCCAGATTGTGCTACCGCACTCCAGCCTGGGTGACAGAGCAAAACTCTCCAAAAAAAGAAAAAAAAAATCTGAAATTTGCAATATAAGAAAAAAAGAAATACAAATACAAAACAAAAGAAGCCAAGAAAACGTTCTGTGGTATTAAATCTGAATTGGTGGTATTAATATGAACTTACAATTGCTTTAAAAAAAAATGTTTAATCTATTTCTTTGCCCTCAAGCAGCCTAGAAGCAATGACACACCAGAAACAATGAGTATACCTAGTGTCAGTCAGAAGTCAAAGTTCCCTGGAGAAATAATTACTCCAGATCTAGGCCAGCACAAGTACGAAGTGAGCTGGGAACATTTTATACCAGAAAGGAAACACTCAAAGACAATACAGTCCTGTCAAAAAGATGGAGAAGCCAGTTAACAAGGGCTATCACTGGCCAAATCTGGGATAATTTAAATATCAATTTTGTTTGTTTGTTTGTGACAGGGTCTCACTGTCACCCAGGCTGGAGTGCAGTGGCATAATCTCGACTCAGTGCAACCTCCACCTCCCGAGCTCAAGTCATCCTACCACCTTAGCCTCTGAGTAGCTGGGACCGCAGGAGCATGCCATCACACCCAGCTAATATTTGTATTTTTCGTAGAGATGGGGTTTCACCACATTGCCCAAGAGAATATCAACATTATAAATAAAATTGACTAACACTTCGGAAAAATAAAAATCCATGAGTTTATATTAATATTCATTTTTAAAGGGAGAGAGAATGAGACAAAGAAAAGCTGTATTCCAAAGAAGAAAGTCAGCTAATAAAGACTGAATGACAAAATTAGAAAATCATCATTTTTAATACCCAATGTAATCATAGATTCCAGCAGGATTATCAATGGATGCTAAAACCATTATTAGGTAATCACTCTACAGGTTATTTACTAATTGCAAAGGGGAAAAAAATGTACCTTTATAACTGAAAGATCTAGCAGTTAGCAAAACTAACATCGTGAAGAGCGAGAAAATCAAACATCTGTGCCTCCTCATGTGAGGCAACGTGACACACACAAACATCACCTGTGAAGTATCTTTGCCGAAAATGCTTAATCTGAATCTGGTTAAGACTCTAGACCTAGCTTCTAGTTTACAGGAACTGCATGGAAGGTGATAGAGGAACAAGTTAAATAACTTGAGAAAACAATAAGACGAATTTAGAATGTGCGACGTTCTACAACACAGTTAACTTGATGCTTCAACAAATGACATGAAGAAAAAGCATGAGTGTGCAGCTTAAAAGTGTCATAATAATTAAAACCAATACAGAAACGTTGATTGGCATATATTGAAAACAAGTATGAAATACATTCTTAGGACAGCTGGGGAATTTGAATATGTACTGAAAGTGAGATGGTAAGAAATTATTGTTAGTTTCTTAGATGTGATAATAGTAGTGTGATAAGATAATATTTTTATTATTAGGAGATGCTTACTTAAGTACTTAGGAATGACGCATGATGTCGTCTGCAATTACTTTTAGTGATTCAGCCAAAAAAAGGTAGGAACATATATAAAGAGAAATAAAGCTAATATGGCAAAATGATAACATCTGTTGACAGTGGGGGAGAGTTACATGAGTATTCACTGTTTTACTCTTTAACTTTTCTCTATATTTGAAATTTTTCAAAATAAAGGTTTTTTAAAGAGTCTCATGACAAAAACATTATGATATATATATAGTTTAATTTCTTTTTTTTTTTTCCCTTTTCTTTTTGAGATGGAGTCTTGCTCTGTTGCCAGGCTGGAGTGCAGTGGTGCAATCTCGGCTCACCGCAACCTCCGCCTCCTGGCTTCAACTGATTCTCCTGCCTCAGTCTCCCGACTGTCTAGGACTACAGGCGCCCGCTA